GAGGTCCCCCGTTCAGCTGGTCCGCCCGTGAAAAGTCTTCGATTCGATTCCTGTGATTTCTCTGCCGTAAAGGCGAACACCCCCCATGCCGGGTGGGTTCGTCTTGGAGAGGTTCCCCACTTCGATGATTCGAAAGAATTCTCTCAGCCCTTGCTGAGTGGACTCAGTGGCTTTCAACATAGCGGCAAGAGGCACTTGGACTCTGGCCACTTGGCGAGGCCAATTTTGGGCCACACCAAACAGCCATCAGCGGCTTACGCGCTGCCTTTTGTTGGTGTGGATTCGAAGATCGGGAGAGCTTCCTTTTCATGAGCACCCCCCGTCCAACGAGTTCACCTTGGTTCATGCATGGAGCGTCCCCGAGTCACCGCCTTTGGCGGGGGCAATCTTGAGGAGATGCCAACTCCAAGGAGTAACATGTATATCAAAGGAATGTATTTACTGTATGTTGGAGTTCCTATACCGCCAGGTCCAACTCCTTGAAATCAGGATCCAACTTCTCAACTCCTCTTCGTTGGTATGGGTCTTCCATAACTTTCCAATACACAGAGACCCATGGAGAATACACATCCAACTTTACAAAACCTGACTATGTCTTGGAATACACATTCTAAAAGAAGTCGTGGGTCTCGCTATGTATTTTTCTCTTTGAAATGTTCACATGTTCTCATAAATTGTCATATAAGGCCAACAACACCAACGACCAACTTCAAACTTCATTGTGCCTCCCTTTTCGAACACACATCCAACTCCTTTAGAATTTTCACGACTGCTCTCATTCTCTGGCTTCGCCAACAGCGCCAAAGTCGGCGCCTTGTTGGGGCCCAGAGAAGGCATAGCCACCTCAGTGATGGGAGAGCTGCGGTGGTTGGAAGAAGAGCAACTTGTCTCCAGCACCACCCAAAAACTGAGTGGTTTAGAGATGTTTATAGACCCCCCGACGACGTATTGTCCATCCAATAACCACCCGTCTTATGGGTGGCGCTGGATAATGCATGAAATGCCGTTCCTTAAGAGTTCATATAATCCATAATGTCTGGACGGTTTTATCAAGCAATATTCTACATTAGTATTCCCCAAATAGAGATGACTTTCAATCTTTCATTAACGTGATCACTCTAGTCTAGTAATTAACCACATCTGAAAAGCACTACAGTCTAGTACTTTAGTCTAGTCTAGTGATCACTCTAGTCTAGTCTTTCAAATGCATATATTTCACAAATCTGACAATTCAGCTGTAGCACCAGACCGACCCACCGAGAAAAAACTGGACTTCATGTTGCGATGATGCGAGAAATCCTTCCCCACGCCATCCGTCATCCATGTTCCTGCCATCCGTCATCCTCTGGAAAGCAGGACATGACCCTGAAAAGTGCCAAAACTAGAAGGATAGGATATGCACTCGCTGCTTCCAAGGGCTGGCTGGACAACCTTTTCACTACTGTGGACGGTCTGAAGCGACCGCTTACGAACCCATTTCCAACGTAGCACCACCCTGGCAGGATGGATCATTTTGGAGGTGCTGTCCAAGAGCCAGGAAAACCATATAATTATGACTTTCCTTTCAGCCTCAAGCCTAACTGCACAAATGCATATCAACATGTTGTAAATGCATATCAAAAATGCATATTGGCCTCCCTAGGCAAATGCATATTACCTTGACACTTGTTTTTGCAAATATATGCATTTGTGCTCCAAAAAAATATGCAGAAAATATGCATTTTCTCTAGGAAAAATGCATATTTTCTGCATTTTCAGCATATTGGCCTCCCCAGGAAAATACATATTTCCTTGACACCTGCTTTTACAAATATATGCATTTTTGGCTCCCCAAAGATATGCAGAAAATATGCCTTTTCCCTAGGTAAAGTGCTTATTTTCTGCAAATTTTCTGCATATTGGCCTCCCCAGGAAAATGCATATTACCTTGACACCTGTTTTTTGCAAATATATGCATTTTTGGTGCATATGGCATATAACTTCCCCAGTTTCAGGGATTGACCCAGTTCGGGAGAATAGACATCACCCGACCCTAAGCAGCGAAACCAAGTCATGGATGGCAAACTTATAATATTTTTTTTTTGGGGGGGGGGGGTCATAAACCACCCAGTCATGGGTACTGCTGGAACAACCTTTACTGTCAGCATCTTCATCTGTCCTTCGGAAACTGCCGGAAACCGCCAGGGTACGACGTCGAATGACTGGCACGACCTTGGTGAGATCTTCCTGGGCTAGAGCTTCCATGAGAAGCTCGACCATCTTCTCGTCTCCCAATTGCCGGGCGACCTGTGGCCGATGCCCAGGGCACGCGTGACCTATCTGGAACCGGACTAGCGAGAAATGGTGAGGGGGTGGTTGATTTCAGGCATATGTCTGCAGGGCGGCATACATTCCAGTCCCAGACAGGGCGTGTCTGGGAATGGCTGAATTCCTGAACATCTCCCTTCTAAGTATAAGAATTGTCTTTAGAAGCTTTTCCTGGCATATTGTCTCTCAAACGGCACCCTTCACAGCAGAACAGTAAGTAGAACACTATCGGTATTATACCATTTGGTAGGGAGTGAGGACTACAATGTCGGACGGTTTTTCCCCTGCTGGAAGCCCCTGCTGGTCTGCTTTGGGCGGCCAAGGCGCCAAGCAAGTCGAACCCTTCAAACACCGACCGTCCATGGATGTCGAGGGCCACTCCCGAGTGGCCTGGCCAGGGGTGGTTGATGTCAGGGGTCCATGGGTTGCTTTTTAACTGACATCAACCACCCAATCCCAAGGATTGAGAGACCTCAATCCCTCCTCAACGGAATCGGAACCTTGAGCTGCAGACCTCCCGAGTCACAGTCCAAGCTGCTTCAATGGGAAAGACGGGTTCCATGCGAACCTTTCCTCAGTACAAATTTGACAAACGGTCTCAAGGACCTGGAACACCTGCTTCCGATCTGGCTTCCGATCGGAACACTGCCAGGGTAGCACCAAACAAAGAGTCCTGATCGGTCACAAGAACCATTGGTATGTCACACTAGTGGTCTGGACTATGCCTATCTGGGATCTGGCCCATGCGTTTGCGACGTTTCAAGACTGAACTTAGAAGGTCATCGCGTTCCTCATGTAGAATGTCCTATCTAACTTCACCATCCTGTCTGAGTGTCCTGTCGATTCTCAAGAAGCGAGACGGGTACCCCTGTCCCATCCATGACGCCTAAACCCCATCCGAGATCGACCGCAAAGAGACAAAGAGATCGACTGCAAAGAGATCGGTCACACGAAAGGAAGAACCTAATGATTAGTGATCATATGATGTAAACCATACGATCACTCTTAGTAAAACATATGAGGTCATTGATTAGTGATCATATGCTTAAATTTTACTATGTTTTACTATTGGGGGGCTTGAGGTTGAGCAAACATCCGCTGGATATGCTGATGTTTCTGCGGAAGGAACTCCTTCACAGGAATCCAGATGTTGATCTCCAAGCGGAGCTGGTCGCGGTATTTCGTTCAAATTCAAACCGCCTGGTCGCGATAGATCTGGTCTTATTGGATAATCTTGTTCTAGCTGTGCTGGTGACATGGTATCTGAGATGCCGCCAGGTACCTTGCCTCTGCAATCAGCGTTTGGGCAAGAGAAAAGGCATGCTAGCTGGACGCAAATAACCGTCAGATTTGCTAAAAGAATACTTTTGCCTGCTGGAGTCGCTGGAGTAACAATTGTTGTTTTACAGGGCCCCCAGGTACCCTTGCAGGTTCACATTCACAAACACGCAGCTGGTTTTTGTGCACTCTTAAGGATAGTTCCCTAGTAGCCCTAGTATCTCAAAGGTGCAGTGACTGGAAGGCTGGGGAAAACGATCCAAAGTAGACTGTAGAGGTAAAATGCAATGCCAAGATTCGGTAGATTCCGCTCAAGTCCCTCGAGCCACTCACTGCTGAGAAGCCATGCCGCTGCAGGAAGCTCTCCACTTGCCGTGACACCCGAGCCGCCCGAGAGGACTGCGGCGAGCGGTCCGAGTGGTCCGAGTGGTCCATGGCTTTGAGCTTGGTTTCGATGCGCGGGCGTCAAATGAAGACCGAAAGCAGGTTCAAATCCAAGTCCAGCTCTCAACTTGAGCATTTGCAATTGATCTGTCTGATCTGCAACAACACACACTGCACACCTCTGTAGCAAGCGCTTGAGTCAAAATCCTGTGGATTGGCAAGAGGATGAATGCATCATGCAATACCAACAGCTGAGGTATGGGGGGGGTGCTGCACAAAACGTCCCTTCATCGTGAATTCTCCCCTCGTTCCTGGCGCCCAAAACACACGATCGAAACGGCAACCGGAGGACCAAAACTCACCAGGAACTGCTCGGTGAACTTCCACTCCACCGGAATTGAGACATTCCCAAAAGTTCAGTGACCTGATCCACGTACTTCCTACCTAGAGAAGCAAAACACTAACGTCTTCTTGGTATCTTGCTTCCCTAGGTATGATCCAACTCCTGATTCAGCGGGATTGGACGGTGTTTTGCTGGTGGGGCGCCGATCCGGACCGCCCCCGGACGACGTTTGTTGGGCGGGCACTGGCGAACCGATGCGTGGCACGCCGCCAGTGGTCATGACATCACGTTGTCAGGTGTCCAACATCCGAAAAGCGCTGCTCCAAAAACCTCCAAGTTTCAAGTGCGTGGATCGGAGTCTGATTTTGGAACTTCTAAGGTCGGATGTGGGATGGCCGTCTCGAGACTGGACCAGGTAGCACCCCGCGGCCTCGATCCGATTCCGCGGCGGAACAAAGCAGTGATGTCGAGAAACCAAACAGAACCGCATCTTCCGTGAGTCGTGGAAAGGAAGAAAGACCAAATCCCCCAAAAGAATGATCATCTTAGAGTCACAGAGGTTGAGGCAACAGCTATGGGCTATGGGCCCTATCAGGTCCTATCCAAATGGCCCAGAAGGGTCCCAGCTCCGGCCTCTCCACCGTTTTCTGGAACCTCGGATCCCGGTTCGACCGCAGTTCGACCACGCCTCACTATCCTCTTTGGTGAAGTGAAAATAGGCGATCCGCTTCTTGTTGAGACCTCGAACCGGCCAAGTCGAAGAACCAAACGAAGCGAACACAGAGAGTCTACAGGACCTCGCTCCGCTGCGAGAGTCGAAGCTGGAGAAGGGGGTCACAACCTCACAAACCTGATCGACACAGGACGTGCCCAATATCGGGAACACAGCAACCTCGCAGGACTGTTTTTCAGAACCCCTGTCAGTGAATTCTCTGGTGAAACCTCTGGAAGTTGTCAGAAGACCCGTTTGGGCACAAGAACTAGGTCCAACTGGTCAAGTTTCTTGCAAAGACCAGCTGGAATTTCAAGATCTTCCACAGGTGACCTTTTGATTTGGAGTAGGGGATGGATTATCATGATGAATCTGACAGGCACCACATGGATGAGAATAGTTGGTCCAGATCTGTCTTTGAAAGATTTATCATGCAGCTCTGTTGATGAGGATAGTGGGAAGGGATCAAATGTTATTTCGTTACCCCATCGATCAATGGGCTTATAGTCATATATGCCTCGACCTAGTTGGCCACATGTTTAAACCAAACAACACATACTCCCCAGAAGGGGACTAACTCATTTGCCAAATAGACGACCGAACTGGCGGGCCGCTTCGCGGCCGTGAAAGGTCTCATCAACGGGATCGTTCGGGACCGGTCACGAACGAAAGAACCAGGCTAAGCGGTTGAGCAAAACCAACATGACTGTGGGTCAAAACCCGGGCGCCACAGCCACCTGGGGTTGCCTGAAAAGCTCACCACTTAACCAATCAAAGCTTTAGACCAAGTCGGATGTATTGGGCAGGGCGCCAGCCCTGTGCCATGCCTGCGGCCTCTGGTCGGGGAAAGAAACAGACTGCTAGATGATGGTCCAAAAACCAACTGAGAACTATTTCCGGTGTTTTTTCCCGAAATGGTCTGTTCAACTTTGGATTTGATTGATTGTTCTCTGTTCTCCCATGTCCAACCACTAGCGAGGCCCAAGTATAACCTAGACATTCGTACACGAAGAAGTCAATCATGCGAAAACAATGGCGGTCAAACGACCCTGGCGTTCTGAACGTAAGGTACTAAACGGTTTGCTCTGTCAGGGTCCCCGTCAGGAGAAATCCTCGCCCATCCTCGCTGAGCTCCGCGCCAATGTCCCACCGCACCACGACCTGAAAAACCGGATGCGCCGCTGCGGTGGAGAATGTTTTGAAGCAACGACTTCCTAGAACCATCCAAGAAAACATCATGGGTTTCTACCAGCACCACGGAAAGGGTGGTTATTGGATGGAACATACATAGTGAGGGATGTCCATAAACCACCCTTTTCGGTGGTGCTGCTAGATGTTCATATATGATCTATTTCCGGACAGGATAAGAGCATGCATTGATTAACAAACTATCAGCCCGAGAAGAAGAAACCCCAAGTTCCGGACCTACGAGTAGCTGCTACTTGTTGGTCTATTGGCTCGTCCGGTCCGGTCGTGTTCACCTGAAGGCTGTCGTTGTGGAACTTCTACATCATATGGTGTCGAAAACGATAACCGGTGCTTTCGCTTGGATTTGGTTGGGGGCCTCCAAAACAAACAGAAACAACGACAAATGTCTGATTGTTTGCAAACCAAATTCCAATACGGGATGCAGGTTCACCAACAGGTTTGTGTCGCATCCTGTGTGCCATACCCAGCCTCATCAGGCGCTTGTCGAATAATACGGACCGAGTGTTGGCAGGATGATGGTCAGATTAATAACTCTATAATTGATAGTTTCTGGTAGTACTCATGGAAGAATTACCTTCTTGTCCAGTTTCATTTGGAAAGGACCTGCACCTTCCCAAATACTTCTAAGTCACCCCTTCTGAGTATGCCAGCGGTAAAAAAGAACAGGTGAGTCACTGCTCAGCTCAGGTAGGCTGGGCTGGTTGATACTGTTCAGGGATGGTGGCAAGAATAAATTGCCTCAGTCATCCTCACTAGCATATGGTACATGTAAAAGATGTTCCCAAGGCACTATTTACGATCAAATCTTCTATCGTCTATCTCAATGGATCTTGCAGTGCACACCTCTCTATGTTGGTCCGGTCTGCACCCAACAACACCTGAGCCAAGGAGCATTCTCTTGCGACTGCGACTCCTTGACTTTCTTGTCGTAGTCTGCCTGGATGTCCACCGGCAGGGAGGGAGTTCGAACGCCAGAAGACGGAACTTCACCGGTTGACACGGACGGTTGACACGTAAGGACAAGGGTTCCATTGAACGACGCCATGTCTCGGCAACGTGTCGTTCAACTCTCGGTGGTGCCATGTAACGCCGAACCGAGACGCACCGAGTAACGCCTGCCTCTTCAGGAACGGACCATCAGTTCCAGGAAAAAGACCAAAACATCGGGACAAAGCCGTACAGCAAAACGAGTTGTGTGACACCATGACCTGAGACCTGAGACCATCGGCCGGAGACTTGGACTTATGGGCGGACAAGCGCCTCAGCCTGTCACCACCAAAACACGGGGTCTTTGGGGATGGCGCAGGAACGCCAAAACATGGGGGATAGAAGGAAATGGTCAAGTTGGGTTTTCATGGTAACACTTTTCGTGGGGAGGTATCCACTTGTGTCCACTCACTTCTATAGTGAATATTATATATCTTTGCCCCATAAGACTTGCCTTGTGATCGCTGATGTCCTGTTCTTTATTACAGCCGATCCACCCACCGAAATGGAAAAAGCAAAAACTAAGGTACTTGTGGGGCGTAAACCTCAGGCACTGAGGACGGCTTTCCATTTGGTTTACAAAGGCTTTCGACAGGAGTTCGATTCAATCTTCCGAAACTGGTTACGGCAGGTTTGTGCATAGCTCGGCTTGCTTTCGTCAAAGTCAAGGTGTTTCATTCATAATGTATATTATAAGAAATTAAATATAGATTGTAAACAAATTGTAAAGAATTTTGTTAATATGATTAAAGAGCAAGGTGTTCTAAACGCTTTGTTGCATGTTGTGTTTGAGCTCAAGCAGCCCTCTTGGTGGTGAGCAAGTTGCCAAAGTGTATATAATCCAGGATAATTCAGGAAATGTCTGAAGCTGCTTCTTGACACCATCCCTCAGATTTGAAACTTTTGCAAACCGTTGGATGCTCCAAAGAAAGCCCTAGGAGCTCGTGAAATGGCACATCTCTTCTGGCAATGCCACAAACTTCTTTTTGCACAGCGGACTCTTGACCAGTCGCCCAGTCGGCGACCTATCGCCAGATCTTGACTGGTGTCCGTGTTCGATGAATCCAGTTTTGTGGGGGAAGTTGTTGGCCCATTCAGCCCAAACCTATTGTTTCCAAGCAGCCGTTTCACACCTCGCCTTTAAGCGTCGCCCCGTCGTCTTTTTTCGCCCGGGTGCCTCCATCTTCACCAAGGGAGCAAAGACATGCTGGTATTGGTAGGCATCCTGCCAAGAGAGGTTAAGAGGCTGGAACCCTATAGTGGTGCTACACACACACACACTCGTGGAAACGGAGCAGTAGAGAGAAGTCCCCCGACTTGCAAAAAATCATCCGTTATAGGGCTCAACCTCTCTAGGTGATCCAAGAACTCAGACGTTAGTCGGTAGTCTGGGAGACATCTTGTTGCCGCTGCTCACCTATCTACTTCCGAAACAGAGTACTACTCGGTGCACCGCGCGCACTTTCTATCCCGAAGTTGGGCCCGAAGTGTTGCTCCAATGAATAAATTTAAGATGGTTAAATATGTTAAATGGTCTGAGGCACAGAAGACCTCATGCACAGCGGGTCCAGGCTGCAGGGTATTTCCTTTGAGGAGGTTCCCAATCTTTGTCCCGGTCCGTATAGGGCTTGCTGAGGTTCCCGATTGGCAAGTGGTGAACGGGAATGTAGCTTCGCCTTCTGCTCCCTGGGTACATCGGGAGGTCTTCGACTCCCGCCTAACCACCGGTTTGCCAACCTTCTCGAAGCTCCTTCCAAGAATTCGCAGGAACCTTGATGACCTTCAATTGGTGCAGTCAGTCAAGCATGTACTTGTGACGTGTCTGCTGCTTGTCCGTAGAATGTTCTGTCTTCGGTGGTCTCCTTGATGGATTCATCTTCGGCCACATCTCCAAATCAGCAGCCATCGAAAACACTGCTAAAAGTGTGTGTGCCAACTTGAAATCCTTGCAACAACCGACTGCGCTGGCGCATGGCTGGCTACACTTCATCTCAACCTCATCCGCACCGCGCGCGCACCGCGCACCGATCCGTCCCAGCGTGGCTGAAGCGGGATTCCTCCTCGGCCTGCCTGTTGGGATGGATTCCTCCTCACCCTCCTCACCCCACTTTGCACGAAATCCTCCGAGTTCCGTGTTGGACATCTGATGAGTAGCGACATGCAGCGGCAGCGTGGGATCCCACCGCGCACTTTCCTCCAGATGGGGCAAGAACTTGCCGCCTTATTGCCCTTGGCGCCAGGGCGACTTTTGCCCGCATTGGGGAATCGGGTTTCCATGAGGAAGTGTTTACTGAAAACTAGCAGTTTCTTGTTCCTAGCAGCGATGGCCTCCAACCTACTTGCGATGGGCTCCACCTAATAGCGCCCTTGCTCTAGCCCAAGAGTGAAATCAATCTCCTCCCAGACCTGTCGAATGTTGCTGCATCAGCTTCGCAGCCAGTCCCTGATCCTGGCTGACCATCTTGCACAGCTGCGGGAGATGCCCCCCCGCTAGTATGATAATTACTATCGATCTATGGGCGCAATGGGGGCATCTGGTCGCCAACCTGGCCAAATCTAGTCACTAGTGTCACTAGTCCGTTCTCAATATAGACCGCTTGTACTACCTGCACCTGAAGGCCTCTTTGGCCGCTTTTTCCGCCGAGAACTCATGTTCGCGCCCCTTCGCTTCTCCGGGGACAGCGGCAACGCCAAAAAAGGACATGTCCAGGTGCCGAAAGCATCTTCGATCCCAAGAGATCGGCGACGCGGTCCTGTCCCTTTAGGTTTGTCCGTCCGCCAAAGGAAGTACCGTCCGCCCCACGCAGTTGGTCGTGCAAGAATTGGTTCACCTTCTTCTGTGGGGTCATTTAGAGTAGGGAAATCAATGCGAAGGATAGCCACAGCGGCGACCAGCGACCTGACATTGATCCCAGCGGCGGGTGCTATCATCAACCATGTATCCACTTCAATCGTGCGAGTATTTTTCTATCCAAAAGAGGAAGAAATCGCCATCCCCCGCTCATTGCCACTATGTTGATTTACTGTATATAAACTTACTATGGGGACTAGAGTGAAGTTTTTATCAACAGCGTTTGCTCATTTGAGATTCTGTCCCCACGAGCAAACCCTGCCGTCCTCATAACGCAGCATCACTGGCTGCGGGTCATCCTCCATACCTGCATCGGCCAAGAACAAGGATATATCCTAGACCCTACTTAGCCTTGTAATTGGTTTTGTAGCGTAAAATCGAAAGTAAAACCATGGTTGGTCGGGATGGAGGCTTTTAAATGGTGAGCGATTCGTATGTCTAGCAACTTCCGAAACCACTTGCGGAAAGTTGCGATATCCGACTCCACTCGACCTGAAATCGATATCGTTCGAGATCGAACGTCTGACTGGACGAAAAGAAAGCCCTGTGATCTTCGCCCTGGCATCGTCCACGTCCGTGGATCTTGGGCACAGGGGTTGCCATGGATGGAGTGCCTGAAAGACTTGTGACTCGTTCTTCATTCTGGTCCTGAAAATTCTCCGGACCCCTTCACAATGGTCGGTGGGGGAATCGTGAAACCACCAACATATTCCATAACACTTCATTCACTCTACGTACACTCCATACACTCTGCAATTTCTTGAAATACATTGGGGTGGCTGACCTGGGGTGGTTGTAGCTAGCGTCCTTGCTCCTAGTAGTAAGGCCAGGAGCCCCGTTGGTAGCGTCGTTGCTCCTAGTAGAAATGCCAGGAGACCGGACACGGCGGACTCGTAGGTTGCCCAGACTGGGAGAGTCGGACTCGAACGCTGCTCGAGCCGGAAAGCCTGGCCCCTTCTTTGGATCGAGCCACCCTCATTCGGATACAGTCGTCGCACCAGTTCCAGTAAACACCCTGTCATTCGAGCAGTCCAATTGGAAGCACGACGAACGTGTCTGTCAGTGGGTCAAAGTGGTTCTCCCAGCCGCAGTTCTGAAGTATAGAAACATGTCCCTTCCCATCTTGAATCAACAACTCATGTTTGTGATTGTCTCATGCTTGATACATCCCAAGGTAGCTCAAAATGGACCCTCATAGCTAGGGTGAAATGACCCTCACAACTCACAACTGGGGTGAAATGGACCGAAGAAAAACATGTAACGGTTATTTTCAGGTCCATCCTCGAGCCTCTGGGATGACTCCTTGAGCCTGCTGTGGAAAGGAGTTCCAGGTTGGTATTTCAACTCTTGCTCTAGAATAATTCTGCAGAATGCAGGATTTCTCGCCGATCCACAGCAGCGCCCCAATCCTCACCAACCGAATCTTGGCCCTTTCTGATGTGAGTTAAAACACGCGAATTATTAAAGTGTTGAGGTGTAGCTAAGTTGGTAGCTTAAGTTTGGTAGCTTAAGTTGGTAGCCTTAAGTTTAAAGGTGATGGTTCGATGCTTTCAACTGATTGTGTGAGAACAGATGCTATCTTCTGCCAGTGAAAAGCACCGCTCCCCTTATATAAGTGGGTGGGGTCCACTCAGGGTAGTCACATACTGGAATCACTTGAGAGGCAGGTGATTTTTCAAACACACAAAATACCACAAAAAAAAAGCATCAAATATCAGCAGATCTATCACTGCTCTTATTCTCACCCCCCGGAAAAATGTGATTTTAACAAGACACACACACACACACAAAACACACATTTCAAAAAAGTAAAATAAACTCCCGGTCGACACCTCCCAGAAGCTCCCCCTTAACAGGAGTATGTTTGAAAAAGGGATGCGCCACTGGATGCGCCCCGGCAGCCTGGCCCTGCCTGGCCCCGACTTGCCATCCAAATCTTCGATGGTGGCATCAGGGTTGCTCTTCCACATCCTCAGCGAGACGCAAACGGTCGGGCTGAGAAGATGTCCGGTCCAAAATCGCGGGCATCCACACTTGTTTGTTTTTAGGTTCAGCTGACAACTGGCTGGATTAACCACAAGTTTGTTGTCTTGTATATGAATTTTTTAATATATGATGGATGTAAACCATCCTGGCAGCCTGGCTGGGTGTTCTCCTGGCGAAATCCATCCCGAGCAGTATGGAAGGGCATTCAGTTCGTCTTTCACAGGTCTGCCTCCCTGCTTCAATATATCTGCCACAGGTTTAAAACACTGAACTGTGGAAGCTCCAAGTTTTGAAGAACTTCAGGTCTGTCCACAGGCAGATGGTCACCTGGATGGGTGCACCGGGAGGACCAAACAGCACGGACCATGGGTCCAAGGAACATCGCAGTGACCGAGAATGAGGCCTGAGTTCTGACCGAAGCAACCCAGGGGATCAAGTTCGATCATGAACGGAAGAACCAGGTGGATGAACTCTTAGTTTGGATGACTCTCACCCCCAAAATGGGACCGAATCGGAATGCGAATGAAACGAATGGAAGCGACATCCTAGCCCCTGCGGTTCACGGGGACTCCGGGACACGGTTCACATTTTTGAGACCCTTCCAGCCTTCCATGTTGTGGAGAATTCCGTGGTGGTCCCAAGCCACCTTCTGCCGCATTGAAGGGTGGTACTGGACGTGTACTGAGAGCGTGGCTCTTCGAGCTTATTCACCTGAAGAGCTGGGGCTTTGCCGGACGTGCCTCTTCGTTTTTTTCTCGATTCTGAGAAAGGCAACCCTTGAACCCAAGGCAACTGGAGTGTACCCTTGTAAACGAAATGTGCGTACTTGTACTTCTATAGATATGACATGATATCACTGAGGATCTGGTACGTAGCGACAAAGCGGACCGCCCTGGGGGATAAATTCTTTTGAAACGTAGACAACATGGCATTGCGACAACAGATCCCCTTTGCGGGGGAGGTTTGGTTTTCCCGCTGTGAGTGTCCAAACTGATCTTCTATAGACTAGCTTTCCCTTCGGCTAGAGACTATCAAGAGCTCCAAATACCTCTGTAGCTTTACTTTGCCTCTCAGTTGAGTGGAGATCACATCCTGGTGTTCAAACAATCCTTGATAAGCAACACTATCGTTCGAGTTTTTAGAGGGTTGTCTTGTTCGAGCTAAGCACCATGAGGGTTGTCTTGTACTGCCAACTCAATTCACACCTAGCCCCTATCTGCTCTCCTCACATCCTCAACCTTTCTCGACTCGACCATCCATCCAAGGCAAGCTCCACCCGCTGATGGCCGCCTGAAGTGAAGACACCTGGGATGCCTGAGACCTCTCACCCTGCTAGGGTGAAGGCACTGGCCCAGCACCGACCTAGTCGGCTGGAAACCATCAAACACCTACTACGTATATAAAGCCGGGAAACGGTTGTAAGCCACCGCTACGAAACGTTAGGCTTGCATGGGTTCCTAAAGGCGCCTTCGCCTGCTCAAAAAAAGGGCGACAGTGTTCAGCCCCCTGTCCCCCTTGGCGAATCTCGCCAAGCTATTCAGCCCGAGGGAGGCAGGGAGGTATCGAGAACTTGGACCCTTTTTGGGTCCTATGCTCATCTCATGAAACCCAACCACATCCCTCATCACATCCCCCATCATGGGTGCCATGTCCCGCCTGGGCTGCAGTGATATTCCAGGAGCGCATCTGCTCCTAACCGGTCCCACGACGAGGAGTCGGACGCCGGACCGGCAGAGTCCTTACTATTCCAAAGCACCCATGGGACTGGCCTATTTGATCGACTGCGAGACTTACTTGGAGTAGTTTGTACCATCCTATACCATCTATTTACCTCCTATACTAGGACTCCTATACTATCCTTGGGGCGGAATTTCCCCCTGCAGTTAGCCGCTTTTTGGGCAGTACATTCCTTCCAAAAGGCGTATTTTGCTGGCCGCAACAAAAGTCTTCAGGTTAACTGATGTCTCTGTAGAATTGGTCTGGAAAAAAGGATTTCACCAGGGGAGTTTATTTATGTTCAGTTCAGTTCATGGCAAAACTTTGACCAAGTTTTGGACCATGTTTGCTTTCACGGGTGTCTAACCAATAAAGGTCTAATCGGCTCCAATAATTACAGTATGTCAATAGCTTGCTAACCTCCGAGTCTGTGTTGCTTTGACACTGTGGTATATACGGTATTCTTCCTTTGTTGCTCCGGGGTAGGGTGACTTTCACAAGAACTTATCAGGAGGTGATAGCTGAACTACATGGCCACTCCCAGATGGGAACATGTTTCGAGCAACTTGAGCTACCAGTTATCCAGCTGTTGACAGATTGAATCTGGATTGTGGACGTTCAGAACCTGCCCCAAAACACCCCCAAGTAGGGACGTTCTCAATATCCTCCTGCTGTGTTTTGGGTAAAAACCCCTGCTTCCTGCTTGGGCCACCCCTGTGACGGGTTGTGGTAAATGTGACGTGTGTGTAATTATTGGTCAAGACTGACACAAAAACCGATTGTCTTCCACTGGCACAGGAAACTTCCCATAAAACCAACGATTAACCAGACCCATACCCATACCTAAGGCCTCGCGTTAGAATCTGATACAGGATGTATATAACATATGTTCTTCCGTGCCCTACATGTGGCTCACCATACACACCCTGAAAACATGAGCGAACGTGAGAACCACTGGTTTTGTGGAGGAAGCGAGTCTTCCAAAGTTCCATGCCATCAGGTTTCATGTGAATCTTCTTGAGTGAGACGTTGTCATTTCTGCTGCCCGCCTTGGCATCTGGCACCTTCACCAGCCATGGCAGGAAGCTACGATCCTGCCGGTCCAGAAGGGGAGGACACATCCTGGGGTCGTCCTAGGGGAGTGGTCGTCCGAATTCTGGAGACTTTGGCGGATCCACAACTGGTTGGACCGACTGGGTCTCGGTCAGTGAGGCTCAAAACCCGAGCGAAGTGGGTCCTTCCTGAAGCGAAGTGGGTAGCAGTGAAATGCATCAGCTCGGCCCACACTCTCAAAGCTGTTGAGGGCCCCCAACTTCGCCGAAAATCCGAATCGAAGCCTCCAAGAAACGTCCTCCCACCTTCGTCTTCGAACTGCACGAACGGGACACAAACTGGGAACTTCATTGGAACTTCAATGAAACCAAACATTCAGATCAGTTTCAATTGAAACTGATCTGAAAACTGCTTCATTTCAGTCCAGCTCACGTCACCTCGTTTCAGCACCCGCTCCCAGTTTCTCGCCCATCTTTCTGGGGACCGTCTCCAGGCTCCACCCCGAATCAGCGGCAAACAACAGATCAAAACTATGCAGTAACAGTACTGTTGATTACCCTATAGGGTCCTTCTCAAATAAGAGGCCAAGATTTTGGAAGCATTTCACACTCCACGTTCAAAGACTGAACTCTAGAGTTGGTTGTGTGCAGTTCTAAACAAAAGCCCTGGAGTAAACCCTGCCGCGTTTCTACATGGCCAAACCCAATGGAAGAACTGTGGATCAAAGCTACCAGTATCCCTCTAGTTGTCAGTCTCTTCTTAATGCTTTTGACTCCTGGTTACATCGCTCGCGACTGCACGAACAACCAAAAATTCGTGTAAGGCGTGGAAAACCACCCGTCTTGGAAATCAGAAACAACTCAACATCGTATGTGCTTAAGCATCCTGAAGAAAAGAAACACATTCCCTGCAATTAATAGAGAAGAAAAGTCAGAAGAACCTTTAGAATATTTTAGAATCACGTCGTTGGTTAGGATTTGACCTTCACTACCCAAACAACACCAACAACCAAAAAGAACACAGCACAGCTAAATGGTTGCCTTCTTCAAGACTGAAGGGCTCAATTCTCCGTTGCGCAGGTGAAGAAATGCAAAATGTTCCTAGAAGGGGATCTACGCGTTTGGGTTAGATTATTTTAAAAGAAAAAAACAGGATGCACTCACTGCATGGGTTTCGAAACGTATCAGAACCATCCCCCGAGCTGGGAATATGGCTTCACCAAGAGTTCGGATCCTTCGTTTTCGCACGTCGCACACGTGGAAGAGCCGTTCGCACCTCACGGATAACACCCCAAAACCAAGCGCGGGTTTCGGCGCGGCACAGATGTGGCACACCGTTTTCGCTTCATGTGGCGCACCGCTCCTCGATCAAGGGCTGCCACTGACCCAAATCCCAGTTGGAGTCCTGTCGCACCGTTCGAGCGACGACGACCGGACTCGCTGGCCAAAGAGATGAAAGCGGGATGAGTAAAAAGTGAAATGGTCCAGTATCAATTGCCCCAGGATGGTCCAGTACATGGGAGGTGGCTGGCACCCTTGAACTTGGATGAGGACTTACCTTTACGCACAGGGAAGTGTCCATCTTGCTGATTCGGAGCATATGTTTGTGCTTGTTGGGCATGTCAAGCAAAGACGAAGCACTGATGGACCTTTGGACCTGGCTGGTTTGGACCTTTGGATTCGGACCTGGGCAGAAGAAGGGAGGCAACCGAACCTCCAACTGCCGGGCAGATCCACGTCTGCTTTAGTGCCTTAAGCTCAGTGGATCAGTTTTTTCTGAAGGACCTGTCCAACAAGAACAAACCAGAGTCTTTCTCTGGAGCTACACACGATATACTTCGGGAAATAACATAGCCCTCTGATAGAGGAACATCATCTTACATTTGAAGCAGGGTCTCGGTTTGCTTGGGGTGTACAACACCCAAAAAATCCTGGAGAACACCCTCCAATCCTTCCAGACCTAGGAAAGGCAAATGAAAGAGGCTGATATTAGCTTTTCATCGTGAAGTCTGTTACACGGTCCGAGCAATCACGGAATGACATGGTGCAAGCATATTTACAAGACCCAACACCCGACTAAAAAAATGCTTGCCCCAAGCACTTGATTAGGGACTGGAATATAATATAATATAGTATCTGATACATATTATGTATGTATATCCCAAACGCAACAAACAGCCCAACCGGTCTCGGTTCCTGAAAACCTAGGAACTTGAGACCCCACCCCCTCCATCTGAGGGTCCAGGGGATATGTTAAATCTTGTATAACTACTCTTTCACCACCCCAACTGATCTGTAAATATTTGCCATTCACACGGATTGTCGGGGTGCGTTTGGTTTGACATCTCCGGATGTCATACACTCCAAGCACGACTCCAGCGAATCCGGGGCGAGCAGCATCGCCTTGAGGGCGTTGTTTGAGAGGCATACGCGGCAAAGCCTGAGAAACCGATCATGGTTTTGAATGTGGGTTGATGGCTCTAATCAGGGCACCACAGCGTGAACTTGAGCTTGACTTTGAGAAATACAATGCTCAATTGGTGGGTCAGAGCGCTGGATGTTCAATGGCTTAAACATTATATACCCCCTCAGTTTCCCTCAAGAATCAAGAACCCTGTTCCCACCTGTTCATCTTTAGTGAGGACAAAAAGCTTGGAGATTACCCACGTGTCCTGGGTAGGAACATAACACTGCACTACCCACCCGTGGCTTCACAACAGAACAGGTCTTGCTGGCTCTTCAGACACTCCTCTTGTGACTGATGGCCTCTTCCGCGTCCCTCGCTGTAGCTTTGAACCGGTCGCTACTATGTTCCATCTGTGAACTCATGTCTGTTCCGAACTTGCACATTGGAATTCGCGACCGGGACCTTGCTGGGTGACGAAAAAGCGGCCGGTCAACAAGTTGGTGAATTCATCAGGGCTGAACTCATCCGTGGAAGAGGGAGAGAGAGGGAGGAAAGAATACAAACTGATCCCCGACTGAATTAGGGCATCATACATGTGAGTCATAGTGACAGTATGATACTGTCATACATGTATGTGATACATACTATGTTACAGTATGTGAGTCATAGTCATTGTCAAATCAGTTGCTTTTGCAAAGGACACTCACCATTGGAGAAGCATGCACTCCCTTGAAGCCACAAAGAATTCACCCTATCTTGTTTCTGAGCACAGTGACTTCTTTAGATACCAACTCCCCAAAATCATCACCTCTCGAAAACGAAATGGTGTTAAGTGACCTCCAACCAAGCCTTCAAGCTTGGTCGAAGAAATACTAAGAATCAAGAACCCTCGGCCGGTGAAGGTTTGGCTCGGCTCCAAACCTGCTGCGAGGTCTGGGTCAAAAGCATCCAGTTCAGAGGGGTCAATGATGGTTGGGGGAACATCCTTCAGTTGCAAAGCCTCCTAGTCTCTACCAGCCGACTTCACAGGTCTTCAAAGGCAAGTGCCAGATTTGGGAGACGGCCCAGTCAGGGGCGGATGACCTGCTTTTCTCTGCGTACCTCGACCTTCAAGGAAGCACCTCTGCTTCAGCAACATCAGTCATGGACGGGTAGCATTTTGGTCTCGAAATGGAACCAAACAATCCATCATGGATGAGTTTGAATATAAAAATCAACAGGAAACCGTGGATTGAAAACCCCCAAAAGGATGGGGTGTAGATTGTCCCTTCAACCAATTCTGGAAAACGAAACACTTCAAGTTCCGGACCTCCCAGGCCCCACTTGCCATTAACTCGAGAGAATACGGGTCCATAAACTCTACGTCTACGTGTCTGAGTCTGGAATCCATTTACACCTTTTCTTGCACATTGTACACAATCTCTGAAATAAAGTTGGACAGGGTCACCACATCGAGGTTTCTATCAGCCTGGTGATACAATGAAGAAAAACCCATCTCAAACACTCCATGGGACTGGAATATATGCTTACATTGACCCCTCACACCACCCCAATGTGGGTCATATGTCATACATGGAGTGTCTGGGAATCACAGGCCAACGAGTCTCCCAATGGCGTGTTGGGGCCAAAGGGGCAGGACGACGACGGAGTCGCTCTTGGCCGCGATGAAGCCGAGCAAGAAGACGTTCCGCTGGCCTAAGATCCAACTTGAAAAGGGTGCATGTTGGGTGGGAAAGTCTCTCTTGAACGGGAGGAGATATATGCAAAAAGGAAATCATCACGAACATGCGTGAGGCACAAAAGGTTTCATTTTCCGTTTCGATATAGGATATAGATATAGAGGCAAATGTGACAATCGTATGATTGTGCTGGACTGTTATCTGCAATTGATAGATGAAAAGAAAGAATCCTCTGCACCAGGAGGGAGCATCACATCAGCTCCAACCTCCCAGCAGCTGTTCTGCTCTCCCTCTGGGCCGCCCCAACCACAGTTGTAGCACTCTAAAACGATCTCTCCGAGTGGACTCTCCGGATGCAATGAGACCTCGCCAAGCTAAAAAGCAAGCAAACTCTCGAAATCCACAAGAGTCTTGGAGCGGGGGATGAAAGCTCTTCCTGCACGTCTGAGGAACCTCATTGCAGGGGATCCGGGTTGAAAAATAGCACTCAATGAGGTTGGTCCGACCAGGTTTTGCTTGGAACAGGACTGGTCGGGTCTTACAGTTGAGTGCAGGTCAAGAACAGGGTCCTCTTCCCAACAGCCAGAACACACCGCCTAGGGGGGTGGTCAAGAGACAGGATCACTGCCAACTGCTCTGGACAAAATTCCTACACCGGTACCCTTCAAAAATCAGGGACTTCAAAGGCTGGACAAAAACCAACAAGCTTTGTTCTGCTTTCGGTCGATTGTGTCTTTAAGTAAACAACGCTCCATGGGATTTGGTCTGCCCCTCAAAAAGAGAAAACAAGAACGGGACGGGAAAGAACCACGGGCAAGACACGTCAATCGTTGCTGTGTCTGCACAATTGATGCATGATACAACACATACACCTCAATCATCCTTGGGCCCTCTGAAGGCGCAGGTGCGAATCATCCGGGTATTTTTGAGCCGAACGGTCCTTGATTCGGCAGGAATGGGTCTCCAGGGTACTGCTGTGAGTTTCCAGACTCTAGTGCCTTGTATGTCTCCTGTTGAGGCACTGAGGCTTCTCCTCTTGATGTCTGTCTCCTGTGGCATGTGGGGTCTTCCATGAAGGGCGAAGTCAGAAGACAAGACACGTGTTTCCATCGCGTTTCCAGGGAAAGGACACGTTGATCACTCTTGAGCTTCCACTCACCAGTCTCGGATTGTGACGAAGATCTGAGAACGGAGGGGGTGTTTAAATGACAAGCAAACGTGTAGCAAAGAGCAAGCGGCAATACACATGCGTCAAAAATAATCACTGGTATAATCACTGATATCACTATATTGCATGTATATATAATTTGATCAACTTAATTATACAGATGCGCTTCATCAATGTGTGACAATATAGTTCGCCGAATCCCTTAAACACCCTCAAACCCTGGTTTAAAAAAAAAAAGAAGTTGAAGGCCCTTCTCCATGGTTCTCCCTGTTTGTTCCCCTAAGCAGGTCCCTCTATTCCTGGCCTCTTTCTGCTTGGCTCTCACCAAATGCAGGATAATGCAACCTGCCGCGACCGCGCTCGGTTGCACCGCGTCTCCCGATCGGAGATCCGGGGGGCGATGGTGCGGAGGACGGAAAGGATGGAAACCTTTCAGTGACAAGTCCTAATGGATTTTTGTGAAGAAATGAGAACACATATAGATGTTGCTTCTAGATGAAGGTTACTTATAGATGAACGTCACTAGATTCTAGAGTCCACATATAGATGTTGCTTCTATAGATTCTAGATGAAGGTTAGATGGTCTTCTCCATGTTGAGAAATTTTCTACGTGAGTCGGAAGGTCATCCAGTTGAAAATGGGCCAATTTGAGGAGCAAGAAACTTCCACACATTTCCACACTGTCCAATTCACTCCACCCCCTCCCAAACAACACCTGCCCCACCAGGGACTTCACCCTCGGTCTCGCGCGTCTCACCGTGACCGGACCGGGAGTCCCAGGCTACTCGGTAGGCCCGGCAAGCGATTGTTGCAGAACCACTTGCCGTCACCGCGGCACCTCGCTGCCGATTGCGAGGATGGAGATGGTCGAGCATGGGATGTGACAAAAGAGCATGGGATGTGGTGGTCTTTGAAGCACACCGAACTTGGCGTTCTTTTGGAAGAACATCTTGCAATACATGTTTCATGCAAGAAAAAACAGTCAGGGACTAAGAACGAAAGGAACACCAAGAATATCAAAAAAATAAGAAACTGTTCTGTTCAAAAGAAAAAAACTACTCGCACCTCAGACGGTCTGTCCTTCAAATGCCAATCTATGTGGAAAACCCCTCACCGTGACCGACAGAGCAGACCTGGCACAAAAAACTTGAGACCTTGCGGGTTAAAGGGAAATATGGATATAGAATTATATGCATGATGAATCATGATGATATAATATATGATAATAGTTGTATCCCTGGCAATCCGTGTATGGCGAAAACGAGTGGTGCGAGAGGGGGTATGCATGTAAGTCTCATATATCCAGCCCCATGAGTCGTGTCTGGGTATGGATACCCCTGATCGCTTCATTGCCCTCTCCATCCAATTCACCCAGCCGCTCTCATTACGACCCAACGAATTACAGCCACAATCGCAACACAGCTCGCTGCGCCCCTCTCAGTTCAAGCGGCTTGATCACACTGCCCGGACTATGAATGCCACAGTACCTCGACCCACTGGCGGGTGTCAAGACCCACATAGCTCGTCCAGTGTTTCGAAACAGATTCAGGTCATCTCTGCCAACTAGGCAGCTAGGCAGCTAGGTTCGTGACCGAGCTGGAGTTATTGGGAGTCCCTGTTCATGACCGCAAAGAGACAAATCCAGTTCGGTCACGAATGGAAGAACCACCTGTTCTTTCTGTGTTGATTTTGTTGGAATCCCGGGGGGGTTGCTTGATTCGAGGAAGCTTCTCAAGAAGGAAGTGGGTTTAGATGGGTTTAGGGTTCCTTGATCTTCCCCCCTCAGAATCCTTTAAACAACCCGTTCTTCACTTCACAGTGACCCGGTCTTTCTGGTCGGTCTGTTGGAATACACCGATTTCCGGGACTTCGGTACAGTCGGCCTTGTTAGATCAGACAGTAAATGGTTGTTCCAATATGGCGCCAGCTTGAAATCCTTTACGGAAATGGCTGGGACTGGGGAAACATCCATTTGTTTCTGGTTGTGTGGTTTCCCAGGTAGTTATATAGTCTTTGGACTTATAAGGATCTGTATCATCAAGGCGTTGTGATGCTTTTCATGAATTTGAGACAAAGCCGATCAGGCCTGTGTGGGACTGGCATATGTGCCGATCAGGCCAGGAATGGTGGTGGTTTAAGTGGTCTTTCTGGGACGAGCACACATGTTCTCCAGTCCCAGACAGGTTGTGTCTGGGGAGTTAGTACGCTCCACTTCTGGATACCTCAGGTGGTTTCAACTCATGTTCAAGCTGAAGTTTGGAGGTGTGTTTGTTTATTTCTTCTTTGAGCCAGAAACAAGCCAGCGACTCGTCCCTGTTCTAGAGCCAGGCACAAACGACTCTGCGAAGCTGCAAACAACCCATCATGGGCCCTCCACTGGGCCCACCCACCGTACCACCCACCTCAAAATAATATTTTTTTACTTTGAGGTGGTTGGAGATATCCGCATCAAATTATTTCTGGACTGTCAGAGTCTGCCAAATAATTTCAAGAATGTAATAACAATTTCCAACATAGATCCGACACGAGACCATCTAGGTGGGACCCACCCCCCCTAAAGTTGACCAAAGTTGACTCAGCTCAGATTACCACGGACAGTGTCATAATGGGTAGTTGAGTAGTCAACCACCCTTCAAATAATCAGAAGTCAAAAGATGCAAAAGAGGCGCCATTTTCTCGCAAGCGGACACGGGTTTCAGTCCCCAGCCGTTGGTTAACATATGTTAACATCTTCGAAAGCAACGTTTTGTTGCCTAGAGCGCGCAAAACCCAAAAGCGCGCAAACCCAAAACTAGAGAACTCACTGATCTTTTTGCTGGATCTTGATGGCAGGCGGGGCCAGGGAATGAATCATGCCAAGGAAACGAAGGAATCTCTGAGGCGAATCACCAAAACGGGGAGCAGCAGACTGGAGGTCGCCATAAATCAAACGCCCCAGCCTAAGAATGCAATGCTCAGATAAAACACGCTTCAACCAAAACACGTTGCCCCACAGAATCAACGCCAAAAAATGAAGCGTGTTCTGCTGAGGAAATCACGGGACCGCTTTCTGCGCCGGGGTTAAGTTTGACTTCGCAAACTTCGCGTTGTAGTATGTCGGCACACGTGCCAACAATTCTTCCCAAGACAAAGTCAAATCGAGCCCATCTGGCATCTTGACCTTCACTTTGTCGTCCACCAAGAGGGTGTGGTGAATGGACTCGAAATCCGTCAGCATTCCTTTCACAATCTTGACAATGTTGCTCCGGCCAACAAGCGTGCTTGGCTTGAGCTCTGACTCCGTTATGTAACAAAGGCCGTTGCCGGTCGTGACGGAGCCCTTGGTCTCAAACGGTGTGCCCTTCTTTGCCGCAAGCTTGAAGGATTCCCAAGCCAGCTCGCTCAAGGTCACTCTCACCTTCATCAAAAAAATATTTTCACAGACCTTGACAACCCAACCACCTGAAAAATAATTTCACAAAGACATAGACAGCAAAAGCGGTCAAACAGCGCTATGTTCAGCCACACTGCATGGTTGCTAGTCTTCACCACCTGAAAGTGCTCAGGCCCAAATTCAAACAGAATGGATCCGTCGGCGGTGTCAACATTGGCGACAGGACTCAAACACCTGGAGGTCACGCGATGTCAGGTATTGTCAAAAAATGTCAAAAAGTAACAAAAGCATCACAAAATCACAGTAGGCCGTTCAAGATCGCGCGACAGTTCAGCAGCGAGTGACAAGACCAAATTGATCCAAGGAGCGTGCCCACAAAGGTCCTATCATTGATCTCCCCAAAAGGCATCAACATCTGCAGGTGCACCCTACTCACAAGGTGCGCCTGCACAGACCCGGAAGCAGCAAGTCTCAGGCCACCAGAATTCTTCTTCTTGGTCCGCTTGGATCGCCAAAGCGACACAGGTGTAGCAAGACGTAGGCCTCCAAAAGAGCCAGCAAACTTCCTGGGACGCCGATATAAGCAGTGAAAAAATCAACTAGGATTGCAAAATAAACCCAAGCAACATCCCCAACAGGAGGAAACATGAGGAAGCATTGGAGATCATGCGAACTGAACCATGCTGAGGCTCAATGGCCGAACGACCAGCAGCTGAAGGTTTTCCCCCACATGGTAATGGCCTATTTGCTTCGCCGCCATTTCCGGAGTGCCTGCTGGGCCTGCAGGTTCGAACTCCTCCGCGATATCAGCAAGAACCCTTTTCGAGAACTCACACCACAGGTTGAAGCGGCTCTGCCTTGCGGCGGAACATTGCCACGCAGCCCTCATCTTGGCTAGCTCATGTTCATAAAGGTTGTGCTTGTTGTCTTTACGCTTGGGTCCCAGGATACTAGCACGCGAGAGAACTCCCTCATGAACTCGGACTCGTGCCACGAAGTTCTGGCAAAAGGGCGTCAACTTCCTGATGCGCCCAAGCATCTTGCTCTCGTGATCCTTTGATGAAGGCTGAAACTGCGAGAGGTGAGCTGCTTCCAGCACATGTCCTAATGAACGGATCGAATCAGGGTTCAACGTATTTTTCTCCTTCTGTGCTACCTCCTCCTCCTCTGATTCAGGGTCTTCATCGTCATCCTTCATCTCAGAGTTCTCGTCACAGCCCACAAATGAGGGATCTTCGCACAACATGCTCAGCTCCTCCTGAATCAAGATGCCCTTCTCTGTGGCTTCCAGGCTGTCAACCACTGCTTTTGATTCTTCACTCAAGCTTTCCTTGCTATCATCAATGGCTTCCTCGTCGCTGCTCTCTTCACCGTTCTCCTCTGCCAAAGTGCCCAAGATCAGCTTCTGCCCAGTCTCCCGCCACCAGGATAAGAGCTCATTTTTGATAATGTCGGCTGCCTTGCTGACAGAGCAGCAGCTTGCAAACAAGCACCTGAGAGTTACAGCCCCTGGGCACAATGCTTTGTGGGTTTACTGCTAGATCAAAGCTTAAAAAAGCTGTTTCATCAAAATGGCGGGGCACACTTGGTCCAATGCTTTGGAAGGCATCGAATCAAAGTCCACAGACGGAGAATGTTTGCGAGTCGAGGACACCTACCATCTCAATAGGAGAAAATTGTGGATAAGGGCAAAAAATTGCACCAAAAAACATATACAGATAGTTGGAAACAGGGAGAATGGTGGAAGAAAAGGAACATGGCCACCACTAATTATTTGAGAGGGTGGGTGACTACACAACCACCCATTACCTGGGCTTCAATCACAAGGAAACTACCATGTACAACCTCATACAACCTCTATAATGAAATTATTTGAGGGGGTGGGTGACTACACAACCACCCATTAACTGGGCTTCAATCACAGGAAACTACCATGTACAACCTCATACAACCTCTATAATGAAACGATTTGACGGGGTGGGTGACTACACTACCACCCTTTGAATGGTGCCAACAGGAGAAAAAGGTGGAAAAGGAAAGAACAAACAGCTAGGAATCAGTATGGAACAGTGGAAGAGTAAAAGAGATTGGAAACCATGTTCCATTTGGTGTGTTTTTGAAGATTTGTTAAAAATAGCAAGGTAGAACCGGCGTAAACCAGCATCAGCGGATTAGGGGTTCGGTTCGGTCTAGGCTGGGACTATAGCAAGCAGCAGCCCTATAATTGCATTAACTATTTCAAGCTCAATCACGGAAACTAGGTGGAAAAGGACAGAGTACAACAACAACTCGAAAGGAACAACAATGAACAACAACTTAATAACAAAGCAAGAACATACACACCACCACAAGAACCTGTCGCCTGTGCTGGCTTTCGCTTCTGCCGGAGATGCAGGAGGGACGCCGCTTGCAAAGCTGTGGCTACGGTGGTTGACCCAGTCTCGCGCTTGCACGTCTTTACCCTGCCAAAGAAGTGCTCAATTGAATCTTCCATTGTCAGGCATGGCTCCATCACTGCATCACTTTGCGGGAACGAGTGCATCCGTAGCACCATATGTACTTGCATGCTGAGTACGTTCAACGTCGTCTCCTTTGCAACCAGGTGATTCTGCCATTCGTGGCCACCCAGATCGTGCGCTTGCTTCACCAAAAGAAGTGTCATGTAGTAGCCACACAAAGAGTTCATTGTCATTTCCTCAATGGAAAAGGCTCTGGACGCAACCCAAGACCCGTGGGTAAGCGCCTGCCAAAACCTCAGCAGGAGCTGGCTAATGCTATTTCTGAACTAACTGACGGTTTGCTTCATTGTCTTTGGAAATAGCCAGCAAGAGCCGCGATGGTGAGACTATAATATAGCAAGCAGCAGCTGCCCCTATCTTTGTATTAACTATTTCAAGGGGTGACTACACAACCGCCCATTAGATGGGCTTCAATGGCAGGAAGCTAGGTGGAAAAGGACAGGAGTACAACCTCATACAACCTCTATAATGAAATTATTTGAGGGGGTGGGTGACTACACAACCACCCTTTGAATGGTGCCAACAGGAGAAAAAGGTGGAAAAGGAAAGAACAAACAGCTAGGAAACAGTATGACACAGTGGAAGAGGAAAAGAGATTGGAAAACATGTGCCGATTTGGTGCGTTTTTGAAGATTGTTAAAAAGCGAGGTAGAACCGGCGTAAACCAGCATCAGCGGATTAGGGGTTCGTGTTAGGCTGGGACTATAGCAAGCTGCAGCCCTATATTGCATTAATTATTTCAAGGGGTGGGTGACTACACAACCACCCATTAAATGGGCTTCAATGACAGGAAGCTAGGTGGAAAAGGACAGGAGTACAACCTCATACAACCTCTATAATGAAATTATTTGAGGGGGTGGGTGACTACACAACCACCCTTTGAATGGTGCCAACAGGAGAAAAAGGTGGAAAAGGAAAGAACAAACAGCTAGGAAACAGTATGACACAGTGGAAGAGGAAAAGAGATTGGAAAACATGTGCCGATTTGGTGCGTTTTTGAAGATTGTTAAAAAGCGAGGTAGAACCGGCATAAACCAGCATCAGCGGATTAGCGGATTTTGGGGGTGTGGTGCGCGAAATGCTGTTAGAGGTCTTGAAAAGCACAATCTTTGCATATCATATCTTGGCAATCTTGGCAAGATGCATATAGAGGTTTGTCCCCAAGTCAAGGTGGCACGGCGTCACCAAATACTTGGGGTTGAACAGTCCTGAAGCCTCTTTGTCTGATTGCTGGTCTTTGCCACAAAGGTAGATCTCAGGACACCCGCCGGCAGCAGAAGGAGACAAGGTGACGAAGCAACCAAAGATTCTGCAAGTCCTAGATGATGCTCGCACAGCCCGCGCCACTGCCTGCCCAAGCGCACACCATCATACACACCATCATTCAACGTCAAGATATGTCAAGACCATGGAAAACACAGCCGGGGTAAGGACACGCTGCAAATATACAAAATAAAGATTCACAGTGACCGTCATTCCGTGTCTCTCCTTAGCAACATGCTTTGGATCATTGACTCCGAAAACAGGTCGTTTTCCCTTCCACAGAAGCACCTTAGGTGTGCCAACGGGAGGCTTCAACACAAGCCCAACAAACTCAAATCAAGACATTATGAGACATAATGCATACATATGCGTACGCAATAAGGCGTGCAATGCCTTTTTGTAGCTGAGCAGCAGTGAATGGAAACATGGGAATGTGAAGCTTGGCTCCAGGCTTGCAGTCCCTGCAAAGCTTCAACGTTACAACAGAACGCAACACATGAAACAAACCGTTAAAAAAGAGCGATTTAGGAACATGGTGGTGTACGCTGGCATCAATAGACAAAGCAGATCACTGCAGCCCAGCCACTGCCAGAAAGGTACATCCGAGGATTCTGTTGCTGGGAGGACACCCATTAAGGCACAATTGATCTTCACAAAGCTCTTGTGATTGTCCGTGGCCATCGCCAGCGGAGGAACTCCGTGATTGCTCTCAATACCTAACCAAAAAGAATTCAACTATCCGATCCGTTCTCCAACAACCACAGCTGAAATTGGGCCTTGGGATGCCTTGAGACATCTTGAGACCAAAGTAGACAGAACCATCAAAAAGTGCACCGGAAACCCAGATGAACCAAGACAGGGCACAAGATTCAACTACTTCGCCCAAAGAGCGCAGTTCACACGCAGCATCAATCTTCTGGTTTCGTGGAAGCATCTGCACCAAGAACAGGTCAGTGCGCTTGTCCAACCGCTTCACAGCAGTGCAGCATGTGACGGTTGCCAATACCTCCGGCGTCAATATGGCATCTTCATCAGGAAGGACTTTAGCAAAGTCTGGCCATGTACCACCCACAACCATCGCTTGGCCAGGGTTTTGCGCATCCAGGCCGTATACAAGAGACATTGTTTTGCTGAATGCGGTTTCATCTCGGACAATCATGTAGTTGGAAGTGCCCTCTATCTCGGGCCCGAGACAAGCGATAGCTGCGCCGCAAGCGTCGACCAGTTGCTTGTCCACGGCACAAAAGAAGTTGGGCAATCCTATGGAATCGATACCGACCTGAAGGAAGAGAAGAGAAACACATAGGAACAAATGCGTTACTGCAAGTGGTTGAGACTTCATGAGACTTCTTTGGACAACAAGACTCAGCAGCCTTCCCATATTGCGCCACTGCGGTTTTTGTGATTCCAAATGCCTTCTGAAGCATTGGAGAGTTCAAGCCTCACTGTCGCTGGCAGCCCTGCGCTCAATCACACGTTTCACAAAACAGATCAACACATGGAAGGCCATTGAAGGCTGCAACCTTAGTGCTGCCAAATCTCTCCCTCCCAGCAAATAGCCCAATTCCTGGCCAGAAAAATATTTTGCAGGCGGTAAGGGTCTAGACCACCTATTGAATATTTTTTTGGCCCAGTGTCAGACCCAGTCCTGAATTCCTTCTGGGCATATGTGAGCAGAACTTCCAGTGCGTTTGTCCTTTCCTCTCATGATCTTGTTGGATTTTTCTAAGAGGGCAGGTACCAATTGTCTGGCCAATTGGTCTCCTCGAAGACTTCCGTTGACAACCAGCTCTGTTACTCTACCCTCCAGTGACGTGAGCTTCCCCTCCACGATTGCGTTCACGTACCCATTCACCTTCTCCTTCAAATCAGGCGCAATGCCCATCACAACACCTGCACTGAGGTAGTTAAGAGTGCGGCTGAGATATCGCAGCAAACTTTCCCTCATGAGCTTGCGGGGAATGTTTGCGAAGAAGCCCTTGGCGACGGCAACAGCGTCAACATAGGTGATCTTGTGTAGCTGTCGATTCTCCAAGTGCGGGAAACGCTTGACCATCCAAGCAGCCGTTTCCCTCTGCGCTTCCAGGTCATCTTGGAGTGTCTGGTGAACCAAATCTATGAAGCAAATCCTCTCCACCCAAACCATGATTCCATCCAAAATCCTGAGCAAGCCAGCGCAGAATATTGGCAATATATATATATATATATAATGTGCGTCTCCTAAAAGGCAGGTTTGGCAGCTGGAAATAAGCTAGAGTGCAAAAGGACCCCAAATGAACCCAATCAATCAGGTCGCTTCCTGGAGTCCACTAAGCGAAGGCATTTCTCGCAAGGAGGGCGGCACATGGAACCTGCAGCTTTGCACGCGGTATGCTGGGCCCACAGACAGCCATCGTCACCAACGTCCTTGCTTGCATCCGCCAGTAACTAAGTACACTACAAAAAATATTTTTGAGGTGGCTCAGTAGTCAAGAGCCGCTAAAGAAATATAATTACCTATATGGGCCATATGGGTGGAAACACAAATCCATTAAATTATGTCTACCACGCAGTAAGTGCAAAAGTGATGAATGCCTGCAGTGCCCCCCAAAAGGGCCACCATTCTTTTTCAAATATGAAATTATTTTTTAGTAACGTTTCGTGCCACAGTTGCGGGCTTACCCAAAAGTGCAAAATAGTGCAAACAACTCCTCGCGCGTGGAGCAATCAAGAAGTGCAAAGTCTGACGTCGAGAATCAAGCTTAATCTGGTCCAAGATTGAAGGTGTGAGTCCGATCATTCCAGAGTCATACCAAAGTTTCAGCTCCTCCAATTTCTGCCCAAGCAAAGAATCACAGCCATGTTCGGACGCTAAGCAAACGCCACAGCACTTCTCGAGCTCAGAATCTGCAGCGGCCGCAAGGCTCCGTCCTCCTAGTGCACGCTGGTGTGCTCTGGATTCCTCATGGGCTTTCCTAGGCTGTATGTCATAGTACAAGCAAGGTGACTGGCATATTTAATTTTGTGGACAAAGACACCTCAACCACCTATCAAATAAATATACAATTGCACAAGTATGTGATGAGTGGCAGGGCCAAGTCGTTTGAAATGTGAGGGAGGTGAATATAGGTTCCACATACCATGCACTGGGCAGGTCTCTTGCCCATCTCCATTTGGATAAAGCCAGGCAAGCTCCGCTTGAAAGCCGATAGCCTACTAGTCGCTTCCTCTGTGCTGAGAAATCTATACATTGATGGCCTCTTCTCCTGCAGGTAATCCATCAGGTTGAATGGCGGCAGCGATCCTGTGGGTGGACGGCCTGCGGATGCCCGCTTTTTGGGAGGAGTGTCGTAAGGCACGAGGCTCAACTCAGTGCTTTCAGCAGCGTGCGAAGCAGGGACCTTGTCACTCTTCACTTTCTTCTTCTTGTCCGGCGTTGGAGCGACGTCTGTACCGTCTATGTGAAAGGTCGCAATTAGTTTCTCACATTGGGGGCACTCAATATCAGTCAGTCCCATCACACCAGTCAAGAAGTCTTTCCAGTGTTTGGAGTTCCCTGCAAAGTCACCTCCCTTGTGGACTTTTTGGAAATCTTCGTTGAAACGAAGCCACATCTTCTTCAGGTAGCACTTGACTCGCTTCTCCTTTTTCTTGAAAGCGTCTTTCTGCTTTCGCTCATCGATGAGTTGTTGGGCACTGAAGACAATGCTGTCGTCTTGCTCTTGCCCTTCCGCTTCAGCTTCAGGAGGTTCATGTATTGTTGGCAAAGGAACCTTTTCTGCCACCTTTGAAGCAGAAAACGCATCTGAACCAGCAGTTGCTGGTGCTGCCAGGGCCTGTTGAACTGCCTTTGCTGCTACCTTTCTCGGTCTGGAATCCTCAGCGCTACTCTGGGGTGTCGGCCTCTTCTTCGTGCTGGAAGTTGCTGGCGCCTGCTTCTTCACCTCAATCAGGGATCTCGGAATGCTGCCTGAGCACAAACTTTCAACTGCCTCATCACTGACAATATGTTTGGGGACTTCGAGCTTGCTCAAGCAGCAGTCTCTGGCTTTGTCAACGAAGATGCGGTGTAGCAAATACTTCACCGTCAAAGCAGCCCTGTGTCCGCAGGACCAGCTGTCTGTCTGGCTGGGCACGCGTGCCAAGAGCGGCTTTAGCTTGAGGTTCTCACTCTGTTGGGAGGTCACAGCTAAATGCGACTCCAGAAGCAAGCAGGCTGCATCTGCAGCAGCCATGATACCGGATGAGATGGGCTGTTTCCCATCAAATATGACAGGCTGCCAACCATCTGCTTTGCACAAACACATAAGTGATTGATGGTCACTGTCGTGCCTGAGCAAGGGGAATCAGATGGAATCAGAAAAGTAATTCATAGGCGGGTCACTAAAAGAAGGAATACAAAATAAAAAAAGCAAATCAACAGACAGGGTGCAAAAGGACCACCAGCATATCCGGTTGACCGAGCGATGTCCAAAGGAACAGTCTATCCATGACTTGGTAGTCTGTGAATAGGACTTTGCGAGGCCAACATGCTCCAAGAGTCTCTCTGGCAATTCCTACTGATGCATGGATCCACTGACCATAGCTCGATAACTGTCCAAGGTGAAAGGGTTCATGTTCCCAGCCTGAAACGAATTGTTTTGCCCAATCGATAACCCAGTCATCGTCCTCTGAGTCCTTGGACAGATGTATTGCTCCTATCAGCACTCTAGCCCCTGGAGAACAGACCAAAAACAACTTGAATGAGGACTATGTCTCTGATGCTGCTTGAAGGACCATCTACTTTGCGCCACGCTACCTCATCATCTCCTTCGCAGCCACCATTGCTGGCAACATAAGCTTGCACAGCCGTGAACTTGCCACTTTTTGCCACAAAAGTCCACCAGTTCTGCAGGAAAATGCATGAAAATGAATATAAATATTCACGGTTGCTTACAGCATCTTACAGCCACATATGATGCAGCAAAACATCAACAGCTCAGAAAGCATCGACCTCTGGAATGTAGCTGCACTGTTCTTTAGGCGAAAGGTGAATGAAGTCATCCATACCAGCCTGGACAAGGGTGGCCAGTCTGTGTCAAGAGACAATCCCAAACCCACAGGTTTTGTACCTCAAAAGTACACGTGACACCTGCTAAGAAGCATATCTTCACCAAACACGACTTGCGACAAGATCAGGTCATGAGCACCTCTGAGTTCTTCATGGTGAAATTCATGAACGCAGCAACTTCTTGAAGAAAACGACGCCAATACAATTTCCTGAAGCTCTGAAAAAAGCCTTTCTGCGTTGACGCATCATTCAAAAGACTTGAAACAGTTGCCTTCCAGCGTCTGATCTTTCCAGGAGCTAGTGTATAGCAACTGGCTGGCTTCCAAATCGCTGATTTCATTGTCCTCTGAGTAAACCTCGGCAAATCTGAGCCAGCTCCAATCACAGGGGGGTAGGGATCACCAAGCACGATTTATAAAAAAATGGTCTCAAGGGCCATCGCTGCACCTATAAAATATATACTCAGCCTAGTGGCCATGTGTGGCAACCTGACACCCTTGCGCAAATCAAAGTCCGCGCACAGAACGTGCAAACACTCCGGGACAGGATTCTCTCCTCCAGCTGTAGAATCAGCTTGGTAACAACAAATGGATCAAATCAAAAATCCATTCTGACAAATGCACGCGCAACCCTCACCCACCTGGCTGCAGTTTGACTCGCTTTGCTGGCGGGGCGTCCTGCTGGTCAACATGCACGATTTGCAACTCTGGCACGGCTAGAAGTTAAAAAGATGAGCGCTGTCTCCAGTGACCAAATTTATTTGGCAACTCTGCAGGGACTAGACCACCGTTCAAATACTGTAAATAAATCTCAATTTCAACTGCTCTCATCATTTCCAACTGGAAAGCCTGACAGGAAAAGGAACTGGTAAACTCCTCCTCAGCCTTTCCACGGCGCAGCGGACCTTGTGGTTTCTGTGACTCCTGGAACAGGCGGAACTTTATATACAAAGAGGAAACGATTAAGAAGAACACATAAGAACACTGTCTGCAGTCAACACACTCCAAACTGCACCGGAAAAGGAATTACTTGGCACCTGTGCGGGGACTATACCACCGTTCAATTATGTTCAAATACTTCACAAATCTCAGATTCATGAATTCTTTATTGAAAGAACTCCTCCATCTTCGCATGCCGCAGCGGACCTTGTGGCTTCTCTGACTCCTGGCAAAGGTGGAGCTCTAGGTGCAGTCACCACACTCCAAAATAATCTTCACTTTATTGATCCAGCCACCAGGATCCTTAGATTTATTTGACAACTATGCGGGGCCTAGACCACCCTCCAAATAATTGTTCACATCGCATTATCACATGTTTATCCACCTCTAGTTTTGCCATCAAGCTGGGATCATTACACTTACGGAACGCGAAGCGAGTGGACTCCTTCGCCTCAACCGTCTCAACCTTTGCACGCAGCGGCAAATCTTCTGGTTTGCACTTTGGCTCCTGGACAGGTGGGTCTCTACATGGCTCTGTGCAAAAAAAAAGCCAGGGGAAATGAACTAGAGGGACTAGACCACCTTCCAAATAATTATGGAATGCTGGAACAGGTGGGGATTTGTGGAAGCAAAAGGATGCAAAAGGAACCAAAAAGAAGAACACCCAATCCAGCCACAAGGATCCTTAGATATATTTGGCAACTGTGCAGGGACTAGACCACTTTTCAAATAATTTGCC